ATTTGAACCTACAACCTGAATAGACTGAATAGACAATAATTAAGTGAGAAGCTTTCTTTGTTTTAAATTAAATATTTTCCACTCCCACGATGATTCACAATTTTAAATAAAATTCATTAATTAAATAAATAACTAAAAGTTTATTACATAAAAACACACAAAACATGAAAAGTCGCAAATGTAAAGAGTTGAGCTGATTATAATTGCATAGCCAGGAATGTTTAATTATTTAATTAAAATAAAGTAATTTCAATATAATCTTAAAAAGGTGAAAGGTTGAAATTAAATTTGAATAAAATAATCATTTCTTTTTTCCTGTTAAATTTCGGTTTAATTATCAACAAAGCTTGCAGGTTGCATCGGGTTAAATAAAATGAAATCTTCAAATAGAAACCGTAATGGAAATGAATAAAGCCATACTGAAACATTAATGAAATAGCTCATGTTGGTGTTAGCTCTTAAGCGTGATTAAGCGCTTTTACTTCCATTTAGGATGGCAGAAAAGATTCAGTTGGGTTGTTAAATTATGTACGCTGTTCTACTTATACTTACTAATACCCCTTAAAGATTTCATTTCGTTTTTGCTTTCACATACTCACAAGTGGCAAAGATTTATGCATTTTTATGTAATGTCGTTATTTGAAATTTACTATCAACCCATCAATGAAAGTAAACCACATGGAACTAAAAGTCAAGATGGAATAATTGATATTACTTTATATCGGAGATAAATTTTTACATCGGAAATTGATTTTCCAACATAATGTTTCCCAATGTTCATTCAAATGCGCAATGAATACATGTTATGATTATTTCATAGAACTGCAAAATTCACCACAGCAATTTACGAGAAACTTTTCATTTAAATAACAATTTACAAATGTACAAATCTTGACTAAGTCGAATCTGAACAAGAGGCATGAGACGCTGTTAAAGTACAATGGGAAAATACTTTTCTTGTTCGCTGCGAAATTGCAAAATCCCATAGATTTCCATTTCCACCCACAATTTGCATAACTTCTTATTCTTGCTCTTCTTCTTATTCTTCTCTCTCTCGACTCCCTACACGATAAAGTTTAGTAAATTAAATTAAAATAGAAAGAGATGGGAAGCAGAGACCTGAAAACGGAATAAAAACCATAATCGTCCTTTAACTTTTTTCGAGTCACATAATCAAACAATGATCAGCGAATGTGAATACTTTTGTTGCCATTACAACGAGATGAAGATGAGACAGACAAGAAAAAAGTTTAATTGCTTTAAAAAAAACTTTGCTCCCCTTTTATTTGATGTTTTTATGATTGAGCTGGGGGATCGCTAAATATGATTTTAAATGGATAATTTCTTAGAAATATTATTATCTTACAGTCTCGTTGAGCTTGCCATTGAATAAGTAATTTTATTAATAAACTTTAATACTTTAATAATTTGAAAAGGCTTCGATAATTAGTTTGCATTTATTTCTGAGA